TAAGTAAGAAGGGAACGTCACCCAACTTCATGCCACAATGTGTGGCATAACATGGACAATGTCCCATGGGCTAGGTTATGACTGTTTGACCTGACAAGTAGAAATATGTTTACCTTGACAACGGCAAAATGGTGCAACCCGACGACAGTAGAATGTCACGCCAGACAGCAAACACTCTAGTCTGATTTGTAGATCAGAAGTGAAGGTCATTTGCTTGAAATCTGTTGCACATCTGGACCTAGGACAGATCTGCAGACTTTGTTTTTCACATTTTGAAGTCACCTTGGAGTACGCCTAGAGCTCTTCAAATATTTCAGCCACCCATCTTCGGAATTTGAACGCCTCTGTAGCCTCAGACATTCATCATCTCACGCTACTCCATCATTTGAACTGAGTTTTTATGCTCTTCATTTCGTATTTACACCAAACTTCAGGCGGACATCAAACAGGTTAAAGATGGAAGGACTAGTGTCTAAAACATCGAGTGAGAAGACCTGCTTCTAATCCCTACAGTTTTGGACATGCGAAATTAATGAAAAACGCTCCTTGAACAAATAATATACTGTTTTTAATCTCAGCTCGCAATACATCTGGACACTTTAAGAACATGGGCAGAACGGAGGCATCGGAACATGCGTCATCGACTGTCTCAGTGTGCCAGTGAGAATTGACACACCATAACATAATGTAACGTGTGAACAATAGCCCAATTGCGATGTGCTATACAAATGCTATTCAATTATAGGGTATTATTGTTACAATTTTATGTCTTTCCCCTCATTTCTTTTGTTTCCGCTGAGATTTCATGCTACCTTTCTTGCCTTTATTTCTCTGCTCTGACCAAACAAAAAAAAAGAAAAAGTAAAAAGTAAAAACTGCATAACTCTAAAGTGTGCACTTTGTCTCCCTTTTTAAAGCCTTTCTACACTTTTTATTTTTTGTTTAAAATCTCATGTGAGATCCCCCATAGAGCCTGGCTTGGCTGGCGTGGACATCAGTGGTCTGAGGACTTGGCCCTGTAGCCTGAGGGCCCGAGTGATGGACAGGCCGGCTGAGCTGATTGACACTGAAAGGCTATTTGTCTGCTGCTTGGCACGACTTGGCCCTGGGCACTGGCCAAAGAGAGGGAGGGAGGGAGGCAGAGAGAGAGAGAGAGAGAACTAGAGAGCGAGAGAGAGATAGAGAGAGAGAGAGAGACAGAGCTAGAGAGAGAGAGAGAGAGAGAGAGAGAGAGAGAATGAGAGCTGGACAGTTCAGCGAATTCTGCCCATCAATCACTCTAATGTCTTTTTCTTGTGTGTATTTTTCACTTTCGTGAGTTTAGACTATTTACCCCCTATCTTAGAAATGTAGCTTTTTAAACGACTCCGCCATACATTACTAGTATCTCGAGGTTTTACCCACTAAAGGAAACATTTTGAGTCCAAAACGTCGATGTGCAGGGGAATAACAAGAATAATATCAAGAAACTAACATAACTACTACCCCCCCCCCCCCTCAACCCACACACATTTCTATCCCTCTTTAGTCTTGGTAGTACATCATATTCAGTGCACTCTCACTTTTTCTCTTTGGTCTGTTGTTGTTGTCCTATCATATTAATGCTGTTGAAAGTGCTGAGAATTAGTTGTAGTTTGTTACATTTTAAAAAATGTTAGAAAGACAATAACGTTCAGTCTTGGTCAAGAATAATTCACAACACCCAAACCTTTCGTTCTTACGAGTATATATGTTTTTTGGTTTGGGTTTTTGTTTTTTTCCCGATCCCCCGCCGCTAACGTAGCTCTCTCTCTCTGTACCTGCTACTAAAAGCATCCCACCGAAACCACAACTGTCGAAGTCATTGATGGGGACCGGACCTCTGACAGTGACGAGATGGACATCTCTGATGACCACGTCATCGCTGGCCACAGTTTGATGATGTTCTAATCGAGAAAGGACCAATAAATCAATCACGGTATTCTTCAGCGGCTTAGCCACGCTTGTCACAGAGTCCGCCATGACAGGCCCTGGTCTCTCCGGTGATTGACGCTCGAGTGGCTGGTAATCCCAGGTTATTGTTCACTGGTTTATCGCCCCTGGCGCTGCCCAAGACTTCAGTGATGACCGTTACTGCTGGTCACTCAAACGATTTCCTTCAGTTCAATATCCGTGCAAACGTCTTTAGTTTACTTTATTATCCAGAATGTTGAGCTGCCGTTTTCAACATCAGATAGACGCGAATCTTTGTAAAAGTGAATCGTACGCACAGGTGCTGTATTTACCAAGATCACCCTTAGGACAAACCAGTGAGCAAGATCTACGGTAGCCCCCTAAGTGAAGTATATATACTTTCTCTCACTCACTCTCTCTCCCTCTCTTCCTCTCTCTTTCTCTCTCTCTCTCTCTCTCTCTCTCTCTCTCTCTCTCTCTCTCTCTCTCTCTCTCTCTCTCTCTCTCTCTTTCTTAATCTCACTCTCTTTTCCTTTCTATCTCTCGACTGCTCTACCTATCTCTTTTTTTCGATCTCTTTCTCGGATCTCATTCTTTCTTGCTTCAATTTTCTATATTCTCAGCCTGTCCTTGGATTAGGTTCATCTAACAGCCGTTGCTTCTTTTTGCATTCCTTAGCTTCCTCGTGAAAAGAAGTATGTTTTCATTATCTCATCCCCATCTTAATGTGTCACAGAAATATGGCAGCTCAGGGCGAAGCCACCTATAAATATCTCATCTTTCATAAACACGTTTTAAACGCCTTCCTGCTCTGCCAAAACAACAGTCTTAAGGCTGACTCTAGCGGTCCAAAGCTGAAGGGAGAGGCAAGAATACCTGTCCTTGTTATACAGAAAAAAGGGTCGTATGATCTATTCCAGAGAGCTTTCAAAATATACCATATCTCACTTTTCAAGAAAAAAAGCTTTTAAAGTTTTGGGAAAGACGAGTTGAATTTGAGAGGCGCTACAGCAAGACTTGTTGACAGAAAGAGTTCAGTATGAGAGAAACCAAGGCGATGGCTATGGTCTCTTTGTTTTCACAAGCACATTTTTGTTCGTGTCGGATTGCGTAAACACATCATTATTCGCTCCCCGTGCCCGGGCAGACAATTGTCCCAATGGTGGTCTCGGAAGATGATCGCCTCACCTATAGGCATCATGTTCTTCTCTGTTGCTTTTACTTTCGCTTCGTATCCACGACGCACTGCGTGCATGTGTGCCTGCATGTGGGGTTGTTTGTATGTGTGTGTTTATGAGTTTGTGTGTGTATGTGTGTGTGTGTGTGTGTGTGTGTGTGTGTGTGTGTGTGTGTGTGTGTGTTAGGGTTTCTTGTTTTTTTTCGGCTGAGGGGTGGGGGAGGGAGGGACTGATGATGTCTGGCCTATTATTACGGCTTTTTACGGTGTACTTGTCATGGATTTCACTTGCTTCATCCTCTTCCTTTTCACTAGACTCCCTTCTCTTCTTACATTTCTTCCCTACCTTCTCTCATACTCTTTACTTGTTTCATACCCTCACACCCACCCCCGCACCTAACTATTGCCTTTTGTTCTGTTCTCCTCCCACCCTTCCTCTCTATCTTTCACATCTTTCTTCCGATTTAAAAAAACAATCCATGTTTTATACGAAAAAGTGAGAACCTAATCGAGTAATACTATCTGAAAAATATTTATTTATTTATTTATTTATTTATTTATTTATTTATTTATTTATTTATTTATGTATTCTGTAAATTCAATCAGCAGCAACCGCCAGATTGTAATCACTTTCTCTGGCCGGGTTTGAATGAATTGCCGGGTTAATTATCCCATTGCAAAAGTCATTGGCATCCCGGCTTGGGTGTTCGGTGGTGGGTAAACACTCCGAGAGATTTGGCGGGCCAGCCCTTTGTGCCAGCGAATCTGGGAGTTGTTTGCTCAAGCAGGATCCGTTCTCTCTTGCGAACAGGGGGACTCGGTGCCAAAACGGACCATTTCTTTGTCCTACGAGGTTTGTCGGACACAATTCAGGAAGGAACTGAGAGGGGAATTAGCGGAGTCAAGCGATTACCAACTGAAAAGACACTCCACTGCTAAACTGGCCGGTTTCTTCTGCTGTGTGTCTTGCCCGGGGGCCAGTGATTGGGTATTTATACAACAGTGGGTAGACCTGCTGGGACGTGATGGCGAGGCCAGCCAGGTTCGTTTAGCCGGGTGTCCAGATTTGGTTACATTACAAATTAGCATCTTTTGCCTTTCTCTGTGAGAGGGTGCCCGGGCTGTCTGTCACATGAGGCGGCAAGTTACAGACTCCAGAGCTCTTGTTTTCTTTTCTGTTGTTTGATCACGTGATGCGGTTTAGACTCAGTGGGTGTGTGGCCTTTGACTTCTCCGCTCTTTGGTGTTGGGTGGAGATTTGTCATTGAATGTCAAAGAGTTTGCCCATTTAATTTGCCTTTTAACGGATATCTCTTTAGTCAATTTGTTTGAATCGGTACGTGACGTTATTTGCGTTCGCCTCTGGTTGTTTTTATCTACGTGTTTGTTGTTTTTCTTTACGTTGATTCATAATCTCAAGTCTCCTTTCTGTAACATTGCTTTTGTTCATGAATGAAGATGGGTCATTGCTATAACAGATTACAGTGGGTAATTTTAAGGTATTTTCATTGACGCAATATCCTTTAGCTTCCCGCCGAATAGCACTTTCCAAAAGATGAACGTTACCATGGCAGTATGTCACATGACATTATTACTGTATGTTTCTGATGCTTGTGGGTGTTTATAGGTGCTTGCGGGCATTCTGTTGTCGTTTTCTCCTTCTGTCCTTTCGTCCTTGTCTCGCCTCTTTACTGTTTTGATACTCTCTCGGGTGAAACCTCTAACCTACGGCTCTCAAATGACCAATTTGTATTCCGAGTGTCGCGAAACTCTTACAAAACGAAACAAAACCAAACGAAACCAAAGGAAACCAAACCAAACCACACCAAACAAAAACCCAACCCAACCCAACCTGATGTGTGTTTTGACATCTGTTACCTGTGTGTTTCAGGTGATGGCCTGGACAACAGTGTGGGCTCTGGGGAAGGCACGGCGGACGAGGACGATGACCGGGGCTCCAAGAGGAATAAAAAGCGCGGCATTTTCCCCAAAGTGGCCACCAACATAATGAGGGCGTGGCTCTTTCAACATTTATCGGTAAGTCTTGTAACGCAAAACAGCTCGCTCTTTTGTTTCTTTTATGTTTTTGTATAATGTTATATGTTTACTTGTGCTGGGATAGTTTTTCCTCGGTTTTCGTTTTGGGGGTGGGGGGAGAGTGGTGGTTTTTTCCTTTTGGCGGGTGGGGGGGGGGCGCGTGGGCGGTTTTCCCTCCTGGGTTCGCTGGCGTGTGTGTGTGTGTGTGTGTGTGTGTGTGTGTGTGTGTGCGTGTGCGTGTGTGGGGGGGAAGATGTGAGAAGTGATTCTGCGTTGAGTAATAGAGGAAGAAAGAAAGGATGTGGGCGTGGGGGGGGGGGGGGCTTCTAAACACGTCAAATGATGTAGATGGGAAAAGAGGATAAATAGCTAGTTGGAGTATGGGAAAAATACGTTTTGGAAAGAATTGGGCAGAGGGTGACGGCCCGAGAAGTCAGCGCCACGCACGATTAGCCCTGCTTGTTATAAGGGAGGGAATGACAGGTTCCCCACCATCCCCTCTTCCAAGGCGACAATGATGATCTGGAGCACTAATACCCCGCTCCCGGCCGCCGCAGACTTCGGGCCTCTACCCAGGACGTTCAGAGCCCGGCTGGCTCGTGGGGACATCAGACGTGGGACTTAAAAAGCGCTCGGAGAGATAATGAGAAGTGGCTCTCGTGATTGACAGCCACCGTCTCGCGACTCGCGGCCGGGTGTTAGTTTTAGGGCTTTATCGCGCAGTGCTGGGCTCCGTCCGGGGACTCTGGCTTGACAGGCAGAAGCTGTCACGTGGTCCGGCAGATACCCAGGCCTGGAGACCTGAAGATCCCGTGCGTGATTGGACTTTGATATCTCCCTTCCCCCCCCCCTCCCCACCGCAGTCCCCGACCCTCTCACCCGGAAAGACCACGAGGAGGGGGAATGGGGGGGGGGGGGACTCTCAAGTGATCGGAGTAATGCTTAAGATAGGGCCTTAACTAGCTCCAGGTTTCGTGGGGGGCGGTTGGTTGGGTTGGGTTGTTTTTTTGTTGTTGTTTTTTTTTTGGTGTGTTTTTTTGGGGGGGTAGGGGTCCAGGGTGAATCTGTTGATTTGGAGGTCACCGGGTGAAATTCACGGCAAACCAAAAAGCAACAGGGATTGAGGAAAAGGCGACATTACCTCGTGGCCAACTTCTCTAAGTGCCCCTTTTCTCTTTCCAACATGGCTAACGCTTTGGTGAAAGAGAAACCATTGTGCCAAACTTGTCTTGGGCGTGTTTTTCTGATCCGAGTTACTGTTAGAGTCGACAGGCATGGGCCATTACCAGTGACCAATACAAGAGTGTAATGTGTGGCCGTGCTGTACCGCTGTCAGGACCTAGTTAAGACTATTCTGTCGCTAAAGAGAACGGGGAATTTTAAGACGACATGCGTGGCTGTATGAGCCTAGTGTACAATGTTTGCTTCCTGTCCCTCGGTCGATTTTTGGAAACAGTTTGGTACAGACTACATTTTCAAACATCTCACAACACTTTGAGTTTAATCCTCTCTAGTCCCGCTGCTCTGAGCGTAATACTCACGCACAGTTCTGCGATGCAACGGGAAGAAAGAAGACAGTTAGTCCACTCGTTAGAAAATGTCCCTCCTTTCTCTTTTGCTAAGACAATAAAGTAGAGCAAATGTAAAAACTCATCCAACGGCATTCTAAAGAAGACTTTTCTGCATAATTTAACTGCATGTTACCATCGTAAATAAGCCAATTTCTATCTTTCTATCTCTTTCTCTCCCTCTCTTTCTCCCAATGTCTCGCTCCCTCCCTCTCTCCTTCTCTCCCCTCAATATCTCTCTGCCCCTTCTCTCTCTCTCTCTCTCTCTCTCTCTCTCTCTCTCTCTCTCTCTCACTCGCTCCATCTCTCTCTCCTCGATGCACTCCGCCAAATAGCTTTGACCCGCGAACCCCACAGAGTTAATGTAATGGCTGCTCAGCTTCCTAGCTTTGATTGGACAACGCTGGCAAGTTTTATCTATTAATAGAAATTTGAAGATAAATACGATTTTGTGCTTTAGGCGTTTTACGGGTGCCAGACAAAAGGGTCACAAGCAAATTGGAGCAATTTGGACTCTCGGAATGGAGTTAATCTCGTTACAGCGGCCACTTCTTTTTTTCCAAAAACAGTTAGGCGCCGGGGTCAGAGTGGTGGCAGAGCCTGGTTGAGAACTGTAATCACCGCTGATGCAATTTCCAATACACTCCGAAGCCATCTCCTCAATGGGCGCTCAGTAATAATGTGCCAATTTCTCTAACCCCTTTGGCTCCGAAAAACGTTCCCAATAAACATGGCTGGAGGTTCCCTAGCTCGGAGCTCGGTTGGTAATCGCGTTTCCGGGAAAAGCAGAGCTTAATTTCCAAGAAGAGGTGTCCTGGTGGCCAGACATCGGGGACTTGGAGAATGCAATTTGGTAGAGTCGCTGTATGAAAGCTTCATTACATTATGAGAGGAAGAGAGAGAAAGAGAGAAATAGACAGAGCAAGACAGAGAGAGACAGAGAGACAATTTTCTGCGCATGTCACACCTCCTGGCCAACAATGTTAAACATTCTGAGATAACCAACTCCTTTCTTTTCTTTAAAACGTTTCTGTATTATTTTCCCTTCCCACTTTTGGCTTCTAACCTCCTGCCAGTTGTTTTTAACCTTCTTTGTTTTTCATCAGACATACACAAAAGAAATGCAAAAAAATGTCCTAAATCGGTGTTTACTTTACATTCTTGGGCAGGAGGTGCTGATGCGTCTTGTAAGTTTATGCACATATCTGTGTGGACGGATCTAGAAATGTTCTCACTGTTGCGAGTCCTTAAGTTGTGATCTGTCTCTTTAATGTCTTTCAAATTTCTTGTCATTCATATTTCTGGACGGCCCCCTTATCTTCAGTATTAGAACACGAACCATGTGATATAGGCTACGCATGAGTTCTATGAATCTTTCCGACCGGTTAAGATGAATGGTTTAGTATCTTGCTTTTTGTGTCATTATAGCCCTCTGAGATTATCCATTTACATTCAAGCATTTGGTGTTTTTTTTAAGACTTTCGTGTGCGCCTGAGAGCTGGATCACAAAACGTATTATCAACTTGAGTTTACCATATGTCCAGCGTGTATTTATCAGACTTTCGTATTGTGAGTCTCACGTCTTGATAATACTCGCATCAGACAGAAAGTAGACACTGAACCCATATATAACATCTGTTTTTCTAGTCATTTTATCCCTATTCAGAAGCGGCAGAGTAATTGCCAGAGTAATTGCTACAAATGAATCGTATTGAATTCCCGTTCCAATAATGACATCCTTCCTGAAATGGTTACTGAAAACAAAAGAAACTGTTTTCATCTGATACAACGTATTGAAGAGATGACTGAGCAATCTGTGACTCTCGGCAGCTAATCAAGTCTTGCTGAGTGGGTTTCTATCGTAGAAATAAATCACAATCAGGCGTATCATTGCGCTTACTTCTCAAAAGTATCACTGTTGGCCGTGTCGTGTCTGGCTCGGTGAATTGAAACCTTTCTCCTCTTGGACTATGTTACTATTTACGGTTAAGTAGAAGGGAACAAATAGTGTATTTGATGCTCTGCATCGAAAATGTGTGGATATTAAAAGTCCTTGAAGTATAAAAATCCATTCCCAGAGTTGAAGAAAACGTGTCAATGCACAAAGGACCTTCAAAATGAAGTTTAAACATGATCCGGTTGAATATCACAAAGCACTACAAAGCAGTGATTAATGTAGAAAAATAAAGCTGTAAAAGCCATAAAGTCTAGACTTAATATTTTGGTTTTGAAAAAAAAAAGGCACCAAAGATCAGTCTTCTCTATTTTGGTAGTCCGTTCTGTAGAACAGATCCCAAGGAAAGCACGATATGGTGCTGTTCGAGAGTACTGTCATAACTGTTGCCTAAATCCTGGGTGTAAAAATGTTCTCGTATTGTGCTCCGAAAAGCGATGATATCCCGGGCAATTACTGAGGCCAACATTTCGCGTGATTTGCGTGCGTCGTAGCGAGCGGGCCTGGTGCATGCGTGCGCCTTGATTACTTACATACCGGAAGTGCGAGAGTAGCTCCCCCTGGGAATGGGGAAGTTTGTTTCCGCAGAGCATGGGATGAGGACTTAAGGGCGTGACTTGGAACCAGGATGAGAGACACCGTGTGATGTGCAAAACAATTAGTCTCCGATCGCTGCAGAATGCCTAGTCATTGGGATATAGTACCCCCCCCCCCCCCTTGGACCCATATTTTGTACCCTCGTGGCTGCAAAGACTGGCAGAGATTGTAATGATGTGTGATGGTTCATTCCCACTCTGACCCAGTGTAGCCCAGAACGCATAGAAGGCCCATGTGTTAAGACATGGCTAAGAAGACCTTCTGATCCATAACCCCCCTCCCTCCCCTACCCTCCCATTCTTCTTGATGACAGAAGATCGGGCATAGTCATTTGTACTGCCTGAAATGTTTAGTGGAACAAGAAATTGAGCTGAAATTGCTGACACAGTACAGAAATGAGGAAATGCTGCTTTCAATAAATAGATCATAATCATGGAATGAGTAGAGGTGATTTTTCCCCTGGAGAATACTGAAGAACTGCGCGTGCAATGAGTAATTGTTTAAGTCACAACTCGTTTTTACGTAATTTACCGAGGGAATTTTTTGGGAGGAAGGGGGGGGGGTGAGCGCACAAAGCTGAGCTCACGGGAGCGTTCTCCAATATCTCATGAGCTAGACAGACGAAAGGAATAATACTCGGTAGACGGTTTTCCATGGTTTTGATTTTAGTCTCGGCTCAAATTTCAACGCAAACAAAGTTCTCGTCCTCCTGTCGCCATTCATGTCTTGCGATGTTGCAAAGTGAAATTCGCAGAGTGTGAAGAATGAAGGTAGTGCCGGGGATTGATTTCACGAGCTCCGCGCCGCCAGAGCGCCAGCACCGTGACGGGAAGCGGGGGCGAGGCAGAGAACGAAAAGCGGCCAACTCAGTTACTTTCTTG